TTTTTTTTTTGACACATGAAGAAAATATATTTAGTTTTTTTCACATTTCAATGTGGGGTCATATTGACCCCGAAAACCAGAAGTGTAAACATTTTTTTTACATACCTTCAGAACAACCGAATCAAGCCCAGTTTTTTTGTGTGTATAGATAGATAATGTATGAAAAGTCACGAAATCTTATTCCACTGAGATGAAGGGAACCTTTTTTTATTAAATAAAAGTCTATTGGGGTCGTATATGACCCGATTGAGGGCTACCTTAACTTCCATTGTGTGGAATAAGAAAAAAGAAAGTCATACAGGTTTTGAACAACATTAGGGTGAGTAAATGAAAACATTTTCCATTTGGGGAAAAAATCTCTTTAAACTAAAATCGAGGTTTGATATTGGTCGATCTCGATGTTTTACAGATGGTAAAGGATACTTCCATTCCACGAGGCTGATACAGGCCCGGCGGATGGGGTTGTTGAGGTTGAGGCAGAAGAGAGCTCTCTGTGGCCGCGTGTTGGCCGAACTGCCCTGTTTTTTGCTCTTGGCATACTGCTGCCGCTTCTTCTGGGCCAGCGACCCGACCGGTACCACCGAGGGTACAGGCACGGAGGCTGCGGGGGCCGCGGCAGGAGTCGCAGCAGGCGGAGCAGGGCCGTTGGCGCTCATGGTGCGGGCGTAGACCTGAGCAGGGCGTCCACCAGCATGGGCCTGCCAGGGGAGAGGGCACAGGGGTGGGCGCTGGAGCGGAGGGTCTCACCAACAGGCTGGCACGTCACCAGAGAGAGGGACTGTGGTACTGCTGGCATAATTTGCCTCTGTAAAAGATAGAGAGGAGAGTAAGAGGATGCGTGTGGTCTGAAAGAGAGAACACGAGAAAGCGCAGAGAATATAGTGGGAGGCTGTGCAGTGACTTCCTTCACCGCTACATTATATTATGCAACTACAGTATGTGGGTGTAAGACTAAAAGATGCATACAGTATGTCTTTGGGACTAAAGGCCAGTGTCTCAACCAAGGATCGCGGGCAGTCCAATGTGTGAAAGACGTGGGACTAAACATCAAAAATATATTTAAAGTAATAGCTAATCTAAATATAAAAATTATGTTATTTACTCACTATCATGTTGAAAACCACCATAAACGTGACTGTTAGGACTAGGACTATTTCATGCTTTACGAAAGAGGATTAGACCAGAATTTAAGTCGTTATTCGAAGATATAAGTTAACATTTAGTAAATGTTAGAAAATTTAGCACAAATTAGTAAATGTTGAAAATAACATTTTTTATTGTTAGTTCATGTTTACTAATGTTTAAAATGGAAGCTTACCGTAAAGCTTACCCTAACCAATAAGGTTCATTCTCATGTTACGCAGCACGTTTGAGCTTCTGCAAGAAAGAACCAAAGAGGTTTGTTCTGGCGCATCAAGCAAGTTCGGTTGAGCTTCTGTTTATGTTCAGTGATCGATGTTTATATGTGAATAAAACCCTGAATTAAACCTGTTAATTATATAAATGATTGTGTCTCTTAAGAAAATTTGGACTAAACCACTCAATCTCTTTATGAACTTTTTGAAGCAGTTGCGTAGCTGTCAATGGAGGGACAGAAAGCTCTCAGATTTCTTAAAAAACATGTTAATTTGTGTTCCGGAGATGAACGAAAGTCCTATGGGTTTGAAACGACATTGGGTGAGGAATTAATGACAAAATCTTCTTTTTTGGGTGAACTTTCCCTTTAGTTTATATTCTACATCTCTGAACTTCCTTAACATGATGTATGACAAAAGGCGTTTGCCATCAAACTTGTCACAAAATGCAAATACTGTATTACTGACATTATTGTCATGTTTTATTGCTTTAAATCCAATCCATGAAACCAAGAGCATCTAATATTGAAAAGTCTGAGGTGCAACAACACTACGAGGACCATATACATTATGCCAGTGTAAGCTAAAACTTCTAAAAAAAAGAAAAGAAAATAGACGTAAAGGCTTAAAACAAACAAGGGCAGCAAAAACAGACAGGCAAACCATAACTCTTAAACGACAGAGGTATTATTAGGTTAATGTCACACAAAAAAAAAGTTACAGCCTGTGGAAAAATCAATGCATGTAGCGTGACCCAATGAAAACCAGTCTGCAAATAGATGCATTGTGGCAGAGAATCACACTACCAACATCCCAGCACACAAACACACATTATCCACAAACAACAGCAAAGAAAATCATCATCTGCATTCAATTAAGCAAAAAAAAACACACATCCAGGCTTATGGGATACACAAATGTCACTCTTATACATCAGAGTCCTTGAACCACTAGGCCCCGCAGAGGAAATGAAGACATGCATGGAAAGGTCATATCGCCTGTTCACATTTCCCTTCAAGCATTTGTCTTCGTCAAAACCTAAGACATCGCATTCATATGTCAAATTCAAGACAATGCTCTGCTGTCATTGCATATACAATAAGTGTTAATCTTCACACGACTAAAATACGACATTAAGTGCAGTGTATATCCTGTACTGGCTCATATATGTGTGTCATTCTTGCGCCATGCATGACAATGATGCACATTGGAAATGAAATGCCTTCATTTACAATGAAACATTTCCTGTTGTGCTTCCATAGATCCTAAACGTAATGCTTAAACTACCATGAAGGACATTGACATATTGTCATTCTAACATCGCATGGCAATGATGATTTCATGCATATAGGCTATTTGATGACATACACATGCATAATGCGTAGCCTATTGATATAGCCTCGTGACTTTAGGGCAATAACGGTAGCGTTTCTTCCCCCCCAAAAATGCAATATTCCATATCTATGGCAGCCAAATCTGTGTCTTTCCTTATATGATACCAATGATGCTCAGTTACAACAGCTGGGATGCGTCTTTATAGTCTCCGACTGCTCATTTCTTTAAAAAACGATTGATTGTGACAAGCAGTGACAAGAGAACAGGTCTAACGGGACCAAAACGAGCGCAACATCCACTGCATCAGCATCATCAGCATCTTCCCAGGTCTGACACGGATGCTAAATGATTGCACTCCATCATTTGTTAAACAGATTCATTTTTAACCAGAAACATGCCAGGCCGCCGCGTGAATATCGTACCTTTGATGAGGTCTTTCCTTTCAGCTGAGGATGATGATGCTGATGGTGATGATTCGGCTTATATCCAGAGATAAAACTCCGACATCGATTAAAACGCACAGGTCCGATCTGACACGGTAAATTCAAATTCATCAGTGTGCATTCGTTGTTTTGCGCGTGAGAGAGCGCGAGAGCTTCCTCGCGTTAGGCGCGCGTTGCCCGTGTTGAAGCGCGGCGTCGGTGAACGGTGAAATGAGCTGAACTCCCCCTCTAGCTGTGCACGCACGAACCGCGCTTACTTTAGTGACGAGGAGGACTCTGAATCATTTAAAGAATCGGTTCGCTCAAATGGACCATATAGGATCACTTGAGTCACCAGTTGTTCCCAATGCGGGATTTTAGCCTACTTTTCATTTTTGTTTGTTGATGTTTTTAGATTGGGGAATATTTTTTATTCCAACAATATTGATAGAAAAATGCTGTTAATATAGCTTATTGTTCATATATGTTCAAATAAATAGATTCATTCTATTTACTACCAAGTTTACGGTATAGTTTATTAATTTCAATGAACATTCACAAAATGATTCATCGAGTCATTGTATATAATATATTAATATATAAATATATATATTTTTTAAATGTCATACATGATCAGAAGAAATATTTGTGTCCGTCCAAAACGAGGTACCAACCAATAGCCATAGCCAAAGATAACCATTCAAGCCAATCATCTGAGCACCTCGTAAAGTGCGTCAACAAACATGCTCGTGCGTCGAAGATGGAAACAAACAGGTGAAGAGACACTTTCAAAATTAGGCCAAATGAAATATTAATTAATGACTGAATGACAAATGTGCCATAGTAAAGGAGAGTTCCTCTTCGCTCAGGTGAGTAGATGCTAAATGTTTTGGGGTTCTGCATTCTTGTATTAATATTTGTGTGTTTATGTTGACTATAAGCATAATTATAATTATTTGCGTTACAATTTTATGTATGTTGTGTTTATTTTTAACATTTTTTAACTAACAAAAGTTGTTATCGTTATGATTCTTAATATATATTTACAAAATTGTTGAAACATTATAAATTATTCTTCGCAAAAGTCACTCCTTATGAATTGTTTCGACCGAATGTTCAACAAGAATTGGTTCAAAAGAATGATTCATTCGCGAATCGGACATCAATTAGCCTTGAATCAGTGAGAACGAGCACAGTTCTGGAAAGTGTTTGGCAGTACTGAAACATGATAGAGGGAAATAAATTTCCTTATATAGTGTATAATTCAATTATTTTCAGTGTGTTGTAAACAAAAGTAAAGTGTTTTTTTTTTCCTTTTACAGCCAGGGTTTTCGTTTTACAATTTGGTCTAAACACACATAGGCTGCAGACCCACATGCAGTGAAATGATATGCCAAGGTTTGCATAAATGGCAGCTGTGTCGGATTGAATAAGGAAGGTCATCTCAAAGGTTGAATTCTAAATCATCATAGTTGCCTTTGGAGACAATGTGTGCGGAGTGTAGAAATGACCTAATCAGGACAAGAAAATGTAAAGCTCACAGAGCAGAACTGAAGGCCTTCAAGAACAAGCAATTACTGCTCAGAGAGTAGGACTTCCCTTGAGTAATCATTTTCAAAGTGAAAATGTGTGATCAAAATGATCAGAAGAAACCCATTTTATACTGTGCATGAGAGAACAAGTACAGGATATTATTTTCAACGTTTCAGAGGAGGTGAAGCTACTATTTCTGGAGACTAACAGAAACAGCAAGAATATAACAGTAATATAATACAAATCTTCTGCACTGCAGGCAATGATCATTTATTTAGGCATAACCCTGTAATAACCTCTTGAAAAGATCATGCATCTTTAGAAAAGACAACACCTGTTCACCTGCTCTGTTGGATTTGGAATTGGTAATTTGACTTTATCTCTTAAGGACTGAAGGATAAGCAACACTCGCCCTGGATGGGCCTATCAGAACCCAGGAACTCAGTCAACCACTGTTATTTCTTTCCATATCTTTACTGGAGTATGTTTGTGTGTGGTCTGTACAAAGAGAAATAACAATAAGTAAATACAGACTTCAGATCCAATTATCTAACAATCCAATACAATAAACAATGATACAATCTGTGCGGAATATAACTTGCAATAAGAGTTAAATACAATAGTGCCACGATTAGCAATATTAGCATCAGAATAGGCCATTTAACTATAATCGCCATCAACTCAACCCTATACTTGCAATTTACTACCAACATATTAAATAAAGAAAACAATCTATTTCAACATAAAATATGACAGCAGTATGATGATCAACGATCGCATAATTCGACGGCAGATATGAATATGATCATGCATGTAACGATCGTTAGAGAGGCACCATAGAACACTCGAATTTAGTTTCAATAGCTTCAACAAACAACACTTATACACAAGATTACAATATGAACTTTCTCCTAAGTGTATAATGACAAGAATTAACTCACTTTATAGGATGCACGCACACATATAACACTCCAACTTGGATCAGCTCGCATTTCTTCCTCACAGGAACACTTTGCGTCATCAATTAAACGGGCAACGAGTCTTAAAGCGGCAATGTCTTAAAGGGGCAACGTCTTAAAGGGGCAACACACGCAAACCAGTTTGTACAGCCGCCCCCAAATTGTGTTCAATTTGAAATTCAAGATGGTTGCGTGTTAGTTACCAATGCTGCAGGGGGTGTGTCGGGCTCTTCCATATCTTCTGGGATGGGGGGTAATGCCACCAGTCGAGCCACGGGTCTAGTATAAACCTTCCCTTGAACTTGTATGTCCACTGATCTCACTTGCGAGTCTTGGCTGGGGTGCACTTGAACAACTCTTCCAATAGGCCAATGTGCTCTGGACTGTTGAGGATCCACTATCATGACTATCGTGCCCGTGGTTATATTAGGGTAGGTGCGGTGCCATTTCTGTCTGACCTGCAGGTTCGGAAGGTAATGGCGGATAAAGGAGGACCAGAAGTGGTCAGCAAGCACCTGGGAGTGCCTCCACCGACGACGACTTAAGCCTTCTTCTTTAGGGTATATGACCGCAGGCAGGGAGTTATCTAGCCGCCCCATGAGAAGAAGGTTGGGCGTTACCGGATCAGGATCAGCCACATTAGAAGATACATACCCAAGGGGTTTTGAATTAAGGATGTTCTCCACTTCAACTAACACAGTCCTGAGTACTTCTTCTGAGACAGTTTGTGCTCCAATGGTCGCAGATAGTGCCAATTTAATGGATTTTATCTCCCTCTCCCAAACTCCCCCAAAGTGTGGTGCTGCAGGAGGATTGAAATGGAATGCAATCTTCAATGGTGCAAGTCTTTGCTGAAGCTCAGGTGACATACTCTGAAATGCTTCCCAGAGTTCCCTTTCCCCACCTCGGAAATTTGTTCCTTGGTCTGACAGTAATTCTACTGGGGAGCCTCTACGTGCAATAAACCTCCGAAGTGACATCAGAAAGGAATCAGTGTCCAAACTGTACAGAAGGTCTATGTGTACAGCCCGGGTGGTAAGACATTTGTAGAGGATTCCCCACCTCTTTTCTACTCGTCGACCAATCTTTACAAGAAAGGGACCAAAGCAATCCATCCCAGTTGAATGAAAGGCTGGCTTGTGGAGACGCAAGCGTGCTAAAGGAAGGTCTGCCATTTTGGGAATTGTAGGTTTGGCTCTCAGACGTTGGCATTTTATACAGGCATGTTGTAAGCTGCGGATAGCTGCTCTTCCTCTTAGGACCCAGAATTGTCGTCTTATTTCTGCAAATACCCGATCAGGGCCTGGATGACAGAGTCTTTCATCATAATCCTGGAGGAGTAACTTCACAGCTGGATGTCTAGATTCTAAGACAATGGGATGTTTAAGGGCAGGATCTAATGTTTCAGCACGTCTTAGCCTACCACCAACCCGTATTAGATTGGTAAACGGGTCATACTCTGCAGCTAGGGTGAGTAAGCGGCTATTATGTTGAAGAGCCTTGCCTGCTTTCAGTCGTTGTAATTCCTCCGGAAAACTCTCATTTTGCACCTTCTGGAGGATGCATGTCTCTGCTGCTTGATACATGCTTGCTGTAGGTTCTCCTGACTGTCCAGCCGCCCCATGTAGCTCCTGTGCAGTAGCCTTTACTAATTCTGCCCATGTCCTGTACTTATTTCCAGTTGGTTCCTCTACAGCTACGACTCCACAGAATGCAGATTTCTTAAGCTCAGATTTGTCAATCTCAGGGCGCTCTGTAGGGTTTGTGGGCCAGCTTTCAGGTGGAAGGAGCAGGAATGGGGGCCCTTGGCTCCATCTGTTAGGCTTGGCAAGTTCTTTCAGAGTCTTTCCCCTTGTGAGGTCATCTGCAGGATTCTGACTTGAATTCACATATCGCCAGGCAGTGAAGTTGGTGAGCTCGTGGATTTCTGCCACTCTTGTCCCAACGAAGACTTTAAAATGGCAGGACTCTGATTGAATCCAGGACAGCACAGTGGTGGAGTCTGTCCAAAGGACTGTGTGGCGAAGTGGCAAAGTTAACTCTTTCTCCAACAGGTTTGCCAACTGAGCACCGATTACAGCAGCACAGAGCTCCAAACGAGGCATTGACAGGACTCTTTTTGGCGCTACCCTAGAACGTGCCAGTATGAATGACAAATGGATCTTACCAAGCTGATCTTCGGTGCGCAGGTAAGTGACTGCTCCATATGAACTCTCTGAGGCATCACTAAACACATGAAGGTCTGTAACAGATCTGGTCTGATCTACTGAAGTTGGTACATATGCCCTTGGGAAACTGATCTTGTGAAGAAACTGAAGTTCACCTTCCCATTCGTTCCAGCTCTGGACTAAAGTCTGGGGAAGTTGGGTGTCATCCCAGCTGTGCTGCTTGCTCCAAAGTTGTTGGACCAGAACTTTAGCCCTGGTAGTAAATGGAAGGATATATCCCAAGGGGTCGTACTGACTTGCTAAAACTTTATAAATAATCCTCATTGTGGGAGCGCCATGGTTTATGGGACGGTGACGGTAAGTCAGTACATCTACAGGGCAATTCCAGCTAAGACCCAACGTGGACTCCTGGACATCTGTCCTTTCATGAGCTAGCCAGAGTTCCAGACCATCCGATCTGGCTTCACGTGGAAGATGGTGAATGACAGATGGCACATTGCTGGCCCATTGTCTCAACTCGAAGCCTCCTTCAGCTAACAGATCCCTCAACTTGTCAACTAATTGCTTAGCCTCCTCTGGTGATGACAAACTCTGCAAGCAATTGTCAACGTAAAAGCACCGTTCGATTGAGAACCTCACATCTTCGTTAGGTTGGCTATGTTCTCTCACGTGCTGTTGTAAAGCGAACGTAGCACAACAGGGGCTGCATGTTGTGCCAAATGGCAGAACCTGCCATTCAAAGACATCAGGTGGACCTTTTTCCTTTGAGTCACGCCAGACAAACCGAAGAAGTGGTCTATCTTCTGGAAGAAGGCGGACCTGATGAAACATGCCCCGGATGTCTGCACTGATGGCCACTGCATGTTCACGGAATCTGAGCAAGACCCCAAGAAGTGATGAACCCAAGGTGGGGCCAGCGAGGAGTGAATCATTTAAACTGAGGCCACTGAACTGAAAGGAGCAATCAAACACCACACGATTTTTCCCATTGTGGCACACCATATGGTGTGGGATGAACCAGGATTCACCATCACTTTCCATTTCTTCTGGAAGGAGCTTTCTGATGGCTCCGGACTGAACCAATTTCTGGATCTCTAAGGAATAAGCTTCAGCTTGTGGCGGGTTTTTGGCAAGTTTCCTCTCAGTACTTCGTAGACGTGGCATGACAGCTTCCATAGTAGCATGAAGATATGGCATGTCACACTTACGCAACAAGGGTGTTGCATAGCGACGTATTCCATCCACCTCTACACGAACTGTCTTGCTTTCCAGTAACTCAATGGCCCTTTGGTCCTGCTTGGATCTTGTGTACTCTCTTTCCTTCTGAAATGGCAAAACATCAACTTGCCACAGCTTTTCAACATTCTTGAACAGTTCTGTAGTGCTGAGAGGAATGGATATGTGGAGACACTGTTTTGGCTCAAGTTTCTGCTCCAACAGGCTGGTAGGGCCCTGGAGTGTCCATCCTAATTTGGTTCTTATTGCAGCTGGACCCCCAGGTGGACCAAGTCTTACTGGCTCAATTGGTGAGATTATGTGTGTTTGATCTGCACCAACAAGGACAAGAGGTTTCGCCCTTTCAAAACACTGCAGTGGTAGTCCAACCAAGTGTTTGTATTGCTTCTGCAGCTTTGGAATGGGGTAAGAATGATCAACGAGGTCAAGCTGTGGGGCAGTAAAGGCTCTGGATATGAGATATCGCTTCTTCGGATTGGAGTATGGAGAAATGGAGAATGAGACTGAAGCTCCATCAAGGGTTTGCACATCATGACGGATGGTTCTCAGAGCTAAGCTTTCTTGTGTCCCTCTTAAGCCAAGCTTCTGTGCTGCCTCTGGCAGGAGCATCGTACGCTCAGAACCATCATCAAGGATTGCGAATGTGTCCAGTGTGCAGTTGCCATGGTGTAAGAGCACTCTGACAATTTTGAGTAAAACCTTATTACTGCTGACTGGTTTGTTCAGGTACAACATTTGTGTCGCTGAGCTGACTAGGCAAGCCTCTGTTTTGGATACCTTTATGACAGGCCTCTCGTTTACCTCATGGAGGATTCGCAGATGCTTTCTCTGACAAAGCGGACATGGTTTCTTTAGACCACAGTGGATAGCCTGATGAGCAAGGCCACAACGCCAGCATCTCCTATTGGCACGTATCCATTCTGAGAGCTGATCTCTGGTGAGGTTTGGAATTTTGGGGCATTGACTGAATGCATGATCAGAGCTCTGACAGTAAGAACAATATACTGAGGGCCTACTCTTAGCTTTCTCATCAGCCTTATCAGAAGAATATGTAGCATTTGCTACCTCAGCACTGTTCCCAGACCCAGTCAGAACAGTGGCAGTGGTTCGGCGTGACCATGGAGCTACCCGAGACTCTCGTTTGGGTCGGCTTTCTCCTCTTGCTGACTGATCATCATAGCTTTGGCACCAAGATTCATATTTTAGCCAGTCGGCCAGATCCATCAATGAGTATGTCACCCCAGGCCGGTGTAACATGTGGCGGCGAAAATCAGCCCGTCTTTCAGGTGGCAGCTTACTGAGGAGGCGTGCAACATGCGACCCACACTGCAACTCAATGCTACCCGCCTGGCCCAATGTCTTTAGAAGACCAACTAAAGACTGCACTTGAAGGGAGAACTTTTCAAAGGCTGAGGGGTCATTGCGGCTTATATCAGGAGAATCAAGAATAGTAGCAATCCTTTTTAATGCTACCTGGTGGGGCTGACCAAACCGTTCATTGAGGGCCATCATGGTGTCTCTGTAAGGTGTAGGGGAGTGCAAGAAGGAGTCTGCTATTAGACATGCATCGTCCAATTTCAGATGGTCAACCAGGACTTGATATTTGAACATTTCAGTACTGTCAGGTGGCAAGAGGTTGTCTAAGGCCATTTTTAATCGAGCAAACTCACTTGGATCTTTGTTGCGGAAGAATGGAATGGTGGGGCATGGTCCTTTGTAATATTTCTCAGTCAGCTCCATAGATGCCATGGAAGGTGCCATATTATAGGATGCCATTCTGTGATGTTCAGAATTTGGACGTGTGAATGATTCCCATGGGTGGTCATAAACATACTGAGGACTTGTCGTTTGGGGAGGGTATTGACCATACCTCAGATGCTCATCATACTGACTTGGATGGTGAAAATCCATAGACTTCTCCATTGAAGTGAGTCGGGAACTGAAAGTTGGTATTGCCCTTGTACTGCTGTAAAGCCTTTGCTTGTTGTGCTTATTCATAGCTTCGGGCTCTTCATACGTGATTGGTGGAGGAGGCTCTGGCCAGTCTTCATCACTCAAATGCTCGGCATGGTGAAATTTAACTGATGGACGATTAGACTGGGTCTTAGGAGTAGATAAGGGCCTTTGGAGACTACAAGCTCTGTTTAAAAGCTCAATCAACTCATCTTTGGCCGTCTCAAATCGTTCAAGGTCAGCTTTAATGGCCTGCTGTGTTTCATGGAGTCTAGCATTCTCCTCTGAGATCCTTTGCAACTTTATAGAGCTAGCAGTTGACTGATCACTCTGGTATCCATCACCATGTGGAAGGGACTCTGCATTGGATTCAAACTGTAGCTGTCGATTCAGATATTGTGGTAATGACTGGCGAGAAGAGGTAGAAATTCGCTGCTGTAGAGGGTTTGGGAGGTCATGATGCTCAGTCAGCCTCGGAGGGCCAGAAAAGCCGGTAAACTGTGCTCTTTGAGGTTTCGCTGTAGATACTCTAATACGTGATGGAGAGTAATCGTCATCATCAGACGACTCCACTGCTGCTTCTCTTATACTCACTGGTAAAGCTGATCTATGAAAACGTGGGAAATCCACCTCATAATCTTGTAAATAGGCTGGACGGCGCTTTGGACGAACCGATGGGTTTACTGGTGTAGAACTGGCTGACATCTCAATCCAGGGAAGTGTATCCGGCTCGAAGGACCATTTGTTGGATTTGGAATTGGTAATTTGACTTTATCTCTTAAGGACTGAAGGATAAGCAACACTCGCCCTGGATGGGCCTATCAGAACCCAGGAACTCAGTCAACCACTGTTATTTCTTTCCATATCTTTACTGGAGTATGTTTGTGTGTGGTCTGTACAAAGAGAAATAACAATAAGTAAATACAGACTTCAGATCCAATTATCTAACAATCCAATACAATAAACAATGATACAATCTGTGCGGAATATAACTTGCAATAAGAGTTAAATACAATAGTGCCACGATTAGCAATATTAGCATCAGAATAGGCCATTTAACTATAATCGCCATCAACTCAACCCTATACTTGCAATTTACTACCAACATATTAAATAAAGAAAACAATCTATTTCAACATAAAATATGACAGCAGTATGATGATCAACGATCGCATAATTCGACGGCAGATATGAATATGATCATGCATGTAACGATCGTTAGAGAGGCACCATAGAACACTCGAATTTAGTTTCAATAGCTTCAACAAACAACACTTATACACAAGATTACAATATGAACTTTCTCCTAAGTGTATAATGACAAGAATTAACTCACTTTATAGGATGCACGCACACATATAACACTCCAACTTGGATCAGCTCGCATTTCTTCCTCACAGGAACACTTTGCGTCATCAATTAAACGGGCAACGAGTCTTAAAGCGGCAATGTCTTAAAGGGGCAACGTCTTAAAGGGGCAACACACGCAAACCAGTTTGTACATGCTCTGCTCAGAAACTCATACCGTCATCTCTCACATTACCAGTCATGTCTGGAGTATTCTCTGCGCTCTCGTGCAAACGGCAGACGGGTCAATTACATTCTTGATCTCAAATTTGAAATTATGCAATTTTAGGGCTGTCAAACGATTAATCGCGATTAACCGCATCCAAAATAAAAGTTTGTGTTTACATAATATATGTGGGTGCACTGTGTATAATTATTATATATATATATATATATATACACACACATTTTTATGTATATACTGTATATAGATTTATATATAATTTATATTATGCATAAATATCAATATTTAATGAATAAATCTTTTTTTTTTCTTAAATATACAGGCATGTGTGTGTATTTAGTGCACCCACACTAAATTATGTAAACCACATATATTATGTAAACACAAACTTTTATTTTGAATGCGATTAATCGTTTGACAGCCCTACAATTTTCATTATTTATTGTTGATAGAAAATGGTATATTACTACATAGATATAAAAGTTTTTGTTGCTCTATTCAACAAATTAAAAAACCTTAATGTACAACATATACTGAAAAAATAATCCTGCAAAAAACAGTAAACTACTGGCGCTTGTGGTTGCCAGCATCATACCGTAAAAATATGGTGTGTTACTGTTTTTAAAATGAACAGCTAAATAGTTGTCAGCTACAGCTATATGCTGTTAAATTACAGTTATATTCTGTAGCTGACAAACCAGTATTTAGCTGTTCATTTCAAAAACAGTTACACCGTCTTTTTACGGTAAGATGCTGGCAACCACAGTTCCCCCTTTTTACAGGATTATTTTTTTACAGTGTACTCTTTAGGTTTATTTCATTGTGGTGAAACCTTTAATAAAATGTCTTCTGTGTTTTATTAAATCCCTTAACAATTTATAAACTCTGAGCAGAAAATAAGAAAGAAATTTGAAGTGTTAACTCACCTTTGGAACGGTTGCTTTTCTGAATGTGAAAAAAGGGCATCATAAACGCCATGATGAAGCTCTGTAAAGTCCATGTGTTTTTGTGAAGTGACCGGCCTTGGGCTCACTGTGAGACTGGGATAGATTTACTGCTGGTGTCTGCTTACCTGTCTAACAGATATAATGGTTTCTCCCTGAACCAACTTTAATAATTAAATATTGGGTATTTCAGCCAATCACCATTCACAACTGTCACATGGCATGACTGTCCAGTGAAGAACATAGACATGCTCAGTTTAATGTCTCAGGGTTGATTTTAAACTAGCAGATTTCTTTTGTTTTACGAAGCATTATAAAGTCTTGGCAGATTGTTTATTTTTGTTACTTTCCAAGTGTGTTTTAAGTATGAATTTTATTGGGCTTTTTTTCAGACCCAGATATCAAATATGAAAATCCATCATAAAAAAATCCTAATTATATGATGATATGAGATCGAGCGTTTAAATGATCTATGATTTTAAAACAATTTAAGACAAAAATCTGGCATCCTTTCCGACATGAAATGACATATTTCCCTTTTAATCAAAGTTTTATTGAAGGTTAGTCTCCAATCAAGCTATAGATTTGTCAAAAATATGCAAAAAGAACACCAAAAATATTCCGTTGGTTTAAGACACATACTGTAAAATGCTATGAATTTAGCCTTAGCGACAAAGAACATTTTTAAAATGTCCATTAAAGAATGTAATCAGACTAAACAAATTGATTAATCAGGATTAATCACATCTACACACACAAACTTAATGCACTAAATTAACACTGTTCAAATAATGAGGCCATCCAGCCTAACATTTGTCTTTGTATTTCTGTCTCTTTCTCTCACTACGTGTCTGAGTCTCTCTCCTCCTCTTTCTATACGTGTGTTTGTTCCCTAAGTGAAGCTCATATGGCATCAGAGGGATCTGTTGGCAGCAGTGAGAGCCACACTTGTGTCATTGGGGTTCTTTACCACTATCACTGCACATGCTGTCTTTTCTCTTCAGACAATTAACAGTTTCTTTGTGACAGTCAGCAACATTAAAATTGTAACTTAAATTGTGTGGTTTGGTTTGTATAAAATGTAATTTATTCCTCAGATGCAAAGCTCTGGTTACTTTAGATCAGCCGTGGGCCCTGTGTCTCTCCTGGTTGCCCGTTGACAGTAACATTGCTCAAAGAGCTGGCCAGTGTATCATCACCTTTAGATTCTCTCACTCTCTCCCTATGCCTGTCTCTGGTATTGATTTGTCCTTTATTTCTCATTTCTCAGCAGTAAATGTGTCTGCACGCGATCCTTCCCCCTATTGGCTGTAATCTGAGTGATTGACAGCTGTAGAGACCTGACCACCCCTCCCCCTTGGGTGCTGAGGCTAAGTGCTGTGTCGCTGTAGCAACTCAAAGTGACTTCTGGGTAATCGAGTGAGCACTAGGGAGCTGACTTATCCCTCAAGGAGCATCTGGCATTAAAATCAAGTCTATCTCACATAGGCTGCTCGTGTTTGTGAATCTCACAAAAGATTTGTGATTTGTGAATTGAATATGTGAATTGTTTGTGAATCGTCACATCTCAGTTGTCAATAAGGTATAATACCAAAAAAAAAAAAAAAACCTCTGATGACTAAAACATAAATAATTTATTTTACATAGAGGTAATTTATGATGATTAGTTATAATAAATATGAAATAATATATATTTTATATTTAATACATAAGAGAATACTGTTTTTAAGCATATATATATATATATATATATATATATATATATATGATATTGTATTATAAAATATAATAAATATAATGCTAGACTAGTATAAATACACACACGTGTATGTATATACACTCTAAAAAATTCTGGGTTGTTTTAACCCAAATTTGGGTCAAATATGGACAAACCCAAATGTTGGGTTAAAAATTAAAAAATTCAGTTGAAAGTGAAAGTTGAAGTTGGGTTAAAATTTTTAACCCAACATTTGGGTTTGTCCATATTTGACCCAAATTTGGGTTAAAACAACCCAGCATTTTTTAGAGTGTATACATGCATGTAGGCTATCTGTGTTATTAATTTGATTTCAGGGGTGAAATGCGAACATGTTCTTGTGTGCGTCTAGTCACGTAAATACACTCACACAAGATTATACTTGCTTTCAGTCTGTTTCACTCTAAAAGCTTACAGTCCCATTTGTATGTGATGGAGCATGTGAATATTAGCATCTATGTCAGCAGGGTGGTGTTATTTAATATATCCCAAGGATTTAGCTGGCGTTGATTCAGGGCTGCTAACACCTCGGTCACCCAGAGCCCAGTGTGTGTTCAGTTATGATTTTAACTGTTGTTGTAGTCTGCGCCGTTTCCTGCCAAAGAAAGTAAAAATAGAAACAGTCATGCACCCTGAATGCACATTCCCTTCAGGAGGTGAGGGACCACGGGCTTCCCTGATTGGCTGAATGGTGTCACATGGGCATGGGTTCTCAGGCTAGGATTGGGTCACACATTTTGGAGCAGTTTGATGACAAGTGCTTCTGACTGGGACGGAAAGCCCAGAGGAGATACTGCTTACTCAGAGATAGAGCGAGAGAATGGAGGAGGGAAAAAGGGACAGCGGAGTGGGCGGAGACTAGCATTATGACATCAAAATAGCTTTCTGAGAACTGATATTGCACATGCCAAGATTTAAGCTGAGCATTTCATATACCTGTGATGTGAATTTTGTGGACTGGAAAACAGAAACAATTTTGCATTTGTTTTATGATTGTATCAACTAGTTATTATGTGATCTAGAAATAGCTGAAAACTGCAATTTGTATATTAGATGTGCTTTTTTATTTACAGAATGACATTTTGGATAACAATAATTAATGATGTTTAAATAACATAATATAATATATATATATTAATTTATTGATAAAATACAATATAGATAAAAAGAGCTCATTGCAAAACACAATTTTTACATTTTTGAAAAAGCCTTTTGAGTGAAAAAGTCAAAATCTGACGATGGTCACGTGAACTTTTTCCTCCAGTGAATTTTATATAGTGAATGTGCAGGGAAACTTCTTTTCCTCGATTTACTGAAGCTTACATGTAAAATGCATTTGCAGCTGCACAGCTAAAACATTGAGCATCTGGCTCGCTCATAGGCTGTGCTGCGGCAACAGCACATCCAATGGCGCGCGGGCGTCTCAGCGGTGCGACCAATGAACTTAGCCCTACGTCATTACGCGATCTTCAGTCTTCACGTGCCTTCGCTGGGTTTCAGACAGGTTACACGACTTCCACCAATCAGATGCATCACTGAGGGATTGTTTAGGATTGTGGGTAATGTAGTACGTATCCAATTTATTGCAAATAAAAGGCATTTATCTTAAAACAAGGTTAGTGCCCCACTGCCCCATGAACTTTTGGCGTTTATATGAGCATTTACAATCACTTAGTACAGGCGTAGCTGGTTTTAAGTCTACCATGTATGGTTACGTTTTAATGGCTTATTTCCCAACTGTCAATGGAGAAATTGTATTGAATTTTTACTTCCGGCACCGGCTGTGGGCGGGGCTGTGATGCTCCATAGTGCTGTAAGTGATAGACCAATCACAACAGACTGGGCCATCTGACCAATCAGAGCAGAGTATAGGCTCTCGGAAAAGATGCATGTAAACATATTGTGGGAGACTTTAAAATAATACAATAGGAGCACTTTAAATGTTGTTCTGTTCACCATATAAGTCTTGGAGTTTAGGATATGAACTGTATGGACTATTTAATCATTTTTCTTCCATCCTTTTTGATACTTGAAAATTCCATCCTCATTCATTTATTACATAAAAGTAATAAAAAAACTAATACTAAGATGTTTCTGAGATTAAATAGTCTATGATCACTACAGTAAGAATGCTAACACTGGATTTCATTCTTCCATACCTTCCCTCAGGACATTCTAGTCCTCCTTAATTGTGAGTGACAGCGATGCAGTAAAATGACATCACAGCATTCAAAATCACACACGTGGCATCAGATGGCCGAATCCG